AAATAGTAGCCAAAGAAAACTAGAGTAGCTGGATTTAGAGCAGAATGAATCTTGAGGTATTGCAGTCAAACTTGTCATGCTTGTTTAAACTAGTAAGTTTTCTAGGAGTTGGAAACCTTGGAAAAGAATCAAACACCAGTTGGTTGGGAAAATGTGGCAGAAGAAATGATAGAAACTTGATTACAGGAGTTTAATTCTGATTCAACAGAAAGGCTAACATTTGGACTCAAGTGTGCAAAGTTCACATTGTTACTGGGGCATTTAAGAATGTTCATAGCAGCACAATTCACAATAGCTAGACTGTGGAACCAACCCAGATGTCCTTCAATAGATGAATGGATAAAAAAAATGTGGCATCTATACACAATGGAGTACTACACAGCAATAAAAAATGACAAAATCATAGAATTTGCAGGGAAATGGATGGCACTAGAGCAGATTATGCTTAGTGAAGCTAGCCAATCCCTAAAAAACAAATACCAAATGTCTTCTTTGATATAATGAGAGCAACTATGAACAGAGCAGGGAGGAAGAGCAGGAAGAAAAGATTAACATTAAACAGAGACATGAGATGGGAGGGAAAGGGAGAGAAAAGGGAAATTGCATGGAAATGGAGGGAGACCCTCATTGTTATACACAATTACATATAAGAGGTTGTGAGAGGAATGGGAAAATAAACAAGGAGAGAAATGAATTACAGTAGATGGGGTAGAGAGAGAAGATGTGAGGGAAGGGGAGGGGGGATAGTAGAGGATAGGAAAGGTAGCAGAATACAACAATTACTAATAGGGCATTATGTAAAATTGTGGATGTGTAACCGACGTGATTCTGCAATCTGCATTTGGGGTAAAATTGGGAGTTCATAACCCACTTCAATCTAATGTATGAAATATGATGTCAAGAGCTTTGTAATGTTGTGAACAACCAATAAAGAAAAAAAATAAACTGCATCACTCATCCCATGGGGGAAAAAAAAAGAATGTGTCATAGGAAGACAGTGGAGGTATTGGAAGGTTTGTATGCTTTTGGAGTAAGCTTAACCAAAGTTTGAATTGTTACTTATTTGCTGTGCCATCATGTGACTTCATCTCTCTGAGGACCATTAAGAATTCTTCCTTGGCCTGGCATGGTGGCGTACACCTATAATCCCAGAATCTTGGGAAACTGCCTCAGGAGTTGCCTGAAACTGCAATTTTGAGACCAGCATTGGCAACTTAATGATACCCTGTCTCCAGATTTAAAAAAAAAAAATTAAGAGGAATAAGAGCGAATGTAGCTGAGTGGCAGAGTGCCCCTGGGTTCAATCCTCAGTACCGGGGGTGGTGGGGGGGAGGGGGTGGATATTCCCCCCCTTGCCAATAGTTATAAGAAATAGAAGTGATGTCACATACATAACCCAGTGTTCCACATGTCTAATACATAGTAAACAGACTAGAAACAGCCCTCTGTACCTTTGCAACTACAGTTTTTTGTTGTAAGACTTACTTTTGTAAAAGTGCATATTCTTTATTCCATAATCATTCTCTAAGAAATATAGTTTTGTATAACCAAAGCATCTAGTCCTCTGAATTCTCGCTCTTCCAAGGGCAATAACAGATCCTGTCTTTGATTCAAAGCTTTCATCACTTAAGAAAAAGAAATTAAAGAGAAAGAAACGGTTTTGCATTGAATTTCTATTATTTATAAAACAAGTATATTGTATTTTTAAGCAATTAGTTATTCAAACTGATTTTATTCAGTGAGTCACAATGAAAAATGTCTGACATTTCAGATAAAATTCAGAATAGTCTGAATTAATGGGGCTTTTTTGTATTAGCAATTGAAATAAAACATTTGACAACCACTTTCTCACTTCTCAAATTGTGCTTAGTTAATGCTACCCCTTGAGCTCTTATTATGAAAAACCTATGTCCCTAAGTTAGTTACTGAGAAGAGTACAGTGTTGTAACTCAACATTTAAATAATATCACTAACAATAATAATAGCTGTACCACTCAGTAAAGTCATATGGAAAAGAAGAGGGAAGAAAGAGTGATCATGAACTAATAAATGCCTCTGAACACAGGGCAGGGACAGAGGCGGAGTCCACTGGCTGTTATATGGGAAGCAGCATGTGTCACCTCCCCTTCTATTGGCTGTTGATCCAACATCAATACAACACTTTCGGAGCCAAATTACTAAACAAGCTGCCAATTAGGCTTGCAGTCAGCTGGATAGATTAGTGGCTAAGAGAGGCCGATACAAGATTTTCATCTCTTGAGCCAATTACGCAAGTGAATTGCCCTCCACAGTACTCTTTGGAAGATTTGAGGGGAAAAGACTGACTTGGCTGTAATAGATATGAGATCCAGCAGGCAGGGCTGGGAGCAGGAGCATGCAGAAGGGTTAGTAGGCTACATTTTGCTACAATTGCCCAAGCAGAAGGAGAGCCTTCTAGGAAAGGACTTAAAGGATTTAGCACTGCCAGGAGCAAACGCAAAGGAAATTATGGTAGTGGTAGATACTGTGTTGAGACTGAGTTGTTCCACTCCCAGGTCTTAATCTCATAAAATAAGGATGAGAGACCAACAGGGGATCTCGCTGTAGAATCATTTTCCTTGAAAAATGAAGTATCTATTACTTTTTTTTTTTTAAGATTGTGTTTCTATATGAAAAGACTTAGATTTGAGGAATTAAATGTCCTTTTTTCTTTATTTCCTCTAAGTACAGGAAACTGCTTCATTTTACTTTATCTTTAGGAAAACAAGAAATGAAACCAGCATTTTAAAAAAATGAGAGAGAATGAGATTTTTTTTCCATTTTTATAAAATTACATGCTTGAGAGTGACCACCCCTAAGCCTGGATGCTTAAAATACCAGCATTTTAAAATATCATAGTGAATCAGTTATCACTTGCTATTCACTTTGGAACTGAAAATTGACCATCATTTAGCCGTCCGTAGAGAGATTTTAAATTGGCCTCATATTTTTTCTTAAATATTAAACAAATTTTGAAGTTGAACTTTTGCAAGCTGTTATGCCAAAAATAAACAGATGTGTAGCCTAAGGCAGCATTAGACCTCTGATCTGATTTTAGCTTATGGACAGAATTAAATTAACTCATGGCAATCATTGAAAAATCAGGAATAGTATACAAAATGCTAAAGCATTTCCCTGGCATACCTGATCAGCAGCTGCTGTTTTGTACATAACTTCAAGGTCTGTCTGGGTTGCCACCATAATCATAATTTCAAAATAAAAACCCAATTGCTTTTTTGTTATATTAGCATGATTTTTGATAAAAGGCTGTTCTCTTTTTTTATAACCAAGAACTCCATCCTTTATTCTCTCTCATACACATACACACACACACACACACACACACACACACACACAATCCCTATTTATGCTTATTTGTCCTGATCAAACAGTAAATTATTGTTAGTCAAAAGTTTTCTCTTTATATCAGCCACTACTATTCTAACTGCACGTTCTCAGAGATTTTTTTTTTCCCGTTCCATGTCAAGGTACTTGTTTCAATGAACTAAGAATCCGTTTGATAAGTTTAAAGCCAAATGATTATTGTATAACTTAGTTCTTACTCCCTGTATTGAATTTAGCAAGTGACAAAGATTATTATTGTTAACATTTTCAATCCTAAACTGTATGAATAATGAGAATACCAAAATGTTTGATAAAGGACCTTCAAAATCAATTGATAATTACTCCACAGTAGTTAAGAGTTATAATTACTAAAATTTATCTCTAGCACTTTTCCTTGTTCTGCAACTCAGAATGACAGATACAAATTACCAGATAAGGTATACCACTGGTTCAACACTGACATTTCTTTTTTCATATGAAATAAATATACCACAGAAACATCAAAATGTATTTTTGCAGTTTTAAGAACAATAATAACTTGGCCCTATGTGTACACACCACCCAGACTAGGAGATAGACAGTACTACAGTGTGATGCCCCATAGGTAATGTTTTTATTATTGTTATTGATGCTTGAAGATCCTTCTGTGCCTTATATTACCATCCTGACAGAATCTCAGTGGAATAGAAAAGAGAGTTCCAAAACTTTTGTCTTCAGGTGGAAGAGTGTAGGAGTAGGGAAGAAATTACTCTCGTAATCCTGAGTCAGGAAGAGAATATCAGTGATGATGGGAGAATATCAGTGATACCAAGGAGATGTCTGAAACATGAGCCTTTGAGAGTATTAAGTTGCTCATTTCCATCTGTCTAGAAGACACTATGTATATTTCAGAGCAGAAATATTCTAGACCCAGGATTGAGCTGGTATGTATATACAACAGTCATCCTGCAAATCTTTAAAGAGACTTAAGGAGGACTGTTGTGAAGATGTGTGTATTCAATATTATTTTCTCTGATTTTCCCTCTTGACCTGATTCTGTTTACCTTAAAACCTGGAGTGTGAAAAGAAGAAGGAATGCAAGAGACTGAATAGTGAGTGACAAGAAGAGGATCATAAGAGTGTAAATTCCTAGGAATTCAGGATGTCATCAGTTGTGCTTTTTGTTTGGTTTGGTTTCATATTAGTTTTGATTTTATTGCATGTCAAGATCCCAGGCATATAGGGTGTAAACTCAGCAATTTTCAGAATACCCATAAGGCTAACATGGTAATGAAAATAAATCCATTTGTAGAATATTCATGGTTTTCAGAGGACTTTCTTTTACATACAAGATCTCATCCCTTTGTGTGCAATAGGCAGTGTATGTTGTGTTGTGCCTGTTTTACATATGAGAAAACAGAAGCCCAGAGAAATTAAATAGCTACTAAATTACCCTGCTTCTAAATGGTAGAATTGAAATTCTAAGTGGTATCTTTCTTCCATTGTTTCCTCTATAATAATAGATACCCAAAAATGAATAAACAATGCTCTCTGAGACCTTACCCCAAAAAAACAAACAAGAGAACATGGGGTTTTTTGGCCTCAGAAGATCTTCACCTATGTCCGTACTAAAGTATATTGTCATTTTCTCATTTCAGGATTTGTAGGTGAAAACGCTCAGCCAATTCTAGAAAACAACATTGGAAACCGAATGCTTCAGAATATGGGCTGGACACCTGGGTCGGGCCTTGGAAGAGATGGCAAGGGGATCTCTGAGCCAATTCAAGCCATGCAGAGGCCAAAAGGATTGGGACTCGGATTTCCTTTACCAAAAAGCACTCCTACAGCTACTACCCCCAGTTCAGGAAAATCTGCGTAAGAAGAAAAAGCCAAGAAGAAATGTTTTACAATTTCTATTCACTTATCCCATAGTTCTAAAATGGCCATATGGTTGCTGGTTTTGAAGCAGAAATCTACATTGCCTCAGACTCATCACTCTAGTTTCCTAACTGCACATAGTCCTAACATCGTGTTAGAAAAGGATTTTATCACAGTTCATGGTGCTAAAGTGAAAACATAAACCCTATACATTTTTTCAGTAATTTCCAACTGTTTCTAAGTATGAAGAAAAGTTCATTTATTTTATTATTCATTTATTATTCAATGCTTTCTAATGCTTTGCTCAGTTCTTGTCTGTGCATGATGTCCAGGTAGAGGTGAGCACTTGCACTGTTATCTAAAATAAGATAGACTATACCAATAAAAAATGTGAAAAATAAATAGGATAGTCCAGAAAGGATTGTATCTCCAATCATCCCATCAGTGGAGTTCTAAGTAAATCTCTTAACAGACTTGGCTGTTTCATATTCCTTGAATTTGGCTTTCTTTTAAGAATTTTTGACCAGTGAAACCCATTAGTTTTCTGTCTTTTGGACAATGCAGTAAGAAGTCCATAGATGACAAAGAGCGATTAATGTTTGCCTCAGACATTGTGACAAAAATAAACCTCATCATTGTTATCACCAGAGTGCCCTCAACATTACTTTAATGCAGATATTATAAAATTTACCTTGTTTAGAACATAAAATAATTATTGAAAGAAAAAATGTATTTTTTAAATTCACCATGACTGAACTGTAAATTCTATTCATCCAGACATCTACCTCTCTCATCCCAAAGGCTAATATTTTTTTAAGATCAACTCAAGTTTAGTAAACTGATTTTTAAATTTAAATCATTGGAGTAAATTGAATAAATTTAAATAGGTCTCCCAAGAATTTAGATTTCTGGCAATGGCCTTAACCTTTTTAAGACCTAAACTGTTACTTTTAGCAAAACAACTCATTTTTATTTTACGCCTCTTGTGGAGTTATTTCTGAATAATTTGCTTCATAGCATCAGAGATTCTAAATTGCTTTTAGTTTAGAAATGTTGATTTGTAATCATCTTTATTACTAAGGACTAATAATTATTATTAGATGGTTTCTACAGGTTGATTAAAGGTAGAGATAATCCATATGAAGCAACTTTCCTAATAAGATTCTAAAATTTTTCATATTGCCAAAAAAAAAGTTTTAAATCAGTAGAGAAGGTTTATGCATATAAAAGACCTTTTTCAGGTGATCCCTTACACAAAATTTTGCCAATGAGGAAGGGAAGTTCAGCCCACCATTTGAAAGCCTTGGTGATTTGCCAAATAAGAATTATTTTTTCCTAGGGATATTGTAAGAGGACAGGGTGTTAAGGGAACTATAGTTCCCTTAACACCCTGTTGATTTGTTAACACCCTTAACACCCTGTTGACTACCAGTTGATTTGCTCTTTTGAAACTTTCATACTAAATAAAATAATAACACTATTGTAGGATTACCTTCTACAAGTTTGTCATTAGAAATTTGCCATTTTTTAATGAGTTTTTCTTCTAAATGTTCGTTTCTACTTATTTAGTAGGAGGAAATGAGAGATTACATATAGGTCTTAAAATTTCTTTGTAATAGTGTTCTAAGGTCTATTCAAAAAGTTGTTTGTTTGTTTGTTTGTTTTGTTTTGTTTTAATACCATTGCCTGAAAATCTTTTAAAATCCCAGAATTTTCAAAAAGCCCCATTTGGACCCACTGTTAACAATGAGGCCATTGCAACACTTGTGTCAAGGTCCTGGAACTTGACTGTTGTTTTTCACTTTACCTTTTTCTAATGGATGCAAAACCCTAATAGTGAAGACCAGTGTATACACCAAACTGGTAAAGTGGGACTCCTTAATTAAATATTACAGTCTTTATGAATGCTTTTTATTGCTGCCATCAGAGACAGGTACAAATCTTCTAAAGCAACTCCTTTAAGATGTTTACTTAGCTTCTCTACTACCCGCAAAATCCCATCTTCATATTTTCCACTAACAGAAGAAAGTTATTTTACCTAGAGCCTGTATATGGCTCACAGACTGCTTAACACATTTTGTATTCTAGTGAAGTATTTAACTATGCAGAATATACATATAAACACCCTAAGTAGAGAAGGAACAACACACCAAGCTAACCCCCTGTTCCTATAGAAATTGCCTTCACCATTCAGTCTTTAAAAAAGATCAGCATAGATCTGATATTCTGATTGTACCTAAAACTAATGGGAGAAAAGACAATTTTTAATAGAAATCTAATGGTTTTTAGATATGAAATTCACTGACTTATGTTTTATATGTAGTTATAATACTTTCAGGTAATATGCCCCAAAGCATCCAAAGGAGTTATTGATTTAGAATACATCATTCATACCTCCTTAAAAAAATAGTAAGAAATTTCTGCTCCCTCATGAAACCATTCTTTTGTATTTAACAGATTCATTAGTTGTGTTAAAATTTTTGAGTGCATAGGTAGGTCTCTTCACTTCTTATCCTATCCAAGACAGGCTGAGCATGACCATGTTAACAATATTTCTTTTTTCTTTGTATTTTTCCTTTATACTTGATGTTGACCCAACTATGTGCTAGAATCATTTCCTTTTTCCCTTTCTTTTCCCTAAGTACAATTTTTCAGGCTACATTCTTCTCAAATTTGTTTGCTCTTATTTGTAAGTTATCTGGCACTTCTTTAAAAGAAAACCCTTTGCTAACTAAAATTTGCCAATTATTGTCTTAGCATTTGAACACATAGATTTTATAACTCGTACTATGGTGATAGGCAAGTTTCAGCAGTAGGGTTGAAGATAGGCATGATAATGTGTACATATAGGTGTGTTTACAGTGCACATATGTACACAAAACAGACATGATTGAAAAATATTGCATTTTATTAATATGTTTATTTTAATACTATGAATTGGTATTCTCCTAATTAACTGACAGTTGCTTCTCTTCAGTACATTTCATCTTATGCAGATGTTTCATAAAAGGCAAGAATCACTGTTGACATAGTTTTAAAAGCCATTTTCACCTCTGTTTTGTTTTTCAAAAAAAAAAAGTGATCTAAATTGGTATTGTAAAATGAAGTTGTTAGTAAAGAATGTCTTGGACTTTTTTTAGCCTTTTTTCCTTTGGCAGAAGCTATATTAAGGTACAACAAAGAAGTGAGAGAATAAAACAATGTTTTAAGAATGTTATTTATAAGCAGTCATTGTCTTTATGCTTTAAATGTTTCCCTCTTAACCTTAAAGTAATAAAAAATAAAGGTGAACATACTTTACTGTTTTTAAAATTACTACCTTGTGACAATTAGCATTAATTCATGTAGTTAAATTGTGAACTTTAAGCTTTGAAAACTTTTCTTATCTAAAAAAATGTTAGAGAAAAACATTGGTAAATATATTTGACTCACAAAATGTATTCATATCTGATTGTGACCTATCCTGACACTTTTTCTTGTTTACTTTTGTTTTTTCCCCTGTAGCTGAACTAGATTAACTAGGTGCAGGCCTCTTTCCACTCAAGAATTCTGTGACTGTAACATCGTAGCAAGGTTCAAGTTCTCTCTGACCATTTAAAGAAGCACATGTGTTAAAATCATTCCATTTCCTTCTGGAAAGTTGTATCTCTCATAAACCTGCTTGGGTATTTTAAATATTTTGGTATAGTTACCAAAGTTTGAGTTTTGTTTGCTACAAGAGACCTTTCACTATTTGATTGAATTTTATCTTTGCTCCCAAAAAAAGTAAGTCAAGTTGTTAAAGTACGTGGATTTTTTTCTTTCATCCAACAGGTATTAAATACTCATTTATTTAACAGACTTGCAGTAATATATACTCAACTGACAAGTGGACCATGAAGACTCCTTCTGCTGGGTTCCTACTAAGCAAAGACTCATTACTTTACACACCTGACATTTTAAGTAGATCCAGATTTGTCTCTAGTGAGTCAGTGCCATTAACTGCCAGGAGTATGATCTACTATTGCCACTTTGAGTTTTATCTGTACATTAGAGTTGTCTCCTGTCTTTGAATTGTCAGACAGTTTAAATCATTTCAGATTCACAGGCCTCACTCCTGTTGTGTTGCAGGATGCTGTGTGTTTACGCCATAATTGTTAAAGGATGAAGTTAAGTAGCAAAGGCTTTTTTGTGTGTTTCTTGGGTGTTTTTGTCCCCTTTACTTCAGATTTTCAAAGTAAATCACTGACATTTTAAAAGCACATGTAATGCTTGATTTTTTCAGCTATAAGAAGGTAGAGATAAGACTGTAGTGTCCCAAATAAAAACTGCCCAGACTATCTTGTTTGCATCTTCCTATTAAATTTCTAAGACACTTTGATTCTTCTTGAATACCACAATGTTTTGGTATTCAAGAAGAATGGAAAACAGCAAACTAACTCAATATATGTTTTCTGAAAGTAAACACTCTTCAAATCCTAAGTGAAATGAATTTTTTCATATGCCAGAATCTCACAGACTGAACAAGTGAGTTTTTGGGGGTTTTTTTGTTTGTTTGTTTGTTTGGTTTTGTTTTTTGTGGTTTTTTTTAAGAAAAGAAAGGAAAGGAAACAACAGTTATGCTAGAGACCATGGTGCTAATCTGCACTTCTGTAGCTCCTCGTGGGTAGCTGTAATCCATTATGGAAAAAATACAAGTAAACCATGTTGCAGATGGGAAGTATGAAAGTCATAAAATAATTTTGGGGTGAATGTGAAACACTTGGGAGCAGACACAAATGGTGTGAGATTTAAAATGCAAAAGCACAGCATTTCTAATATACTGGCAATAGTGTCTTTAGATCTCAGCAGTGAATACAGTGGTCTACCGTCTAAAGCTTGCTTCTGGACCCTCGCACATCTTCATACACTGATGCTTTCATGACACTATTTCTGATTCTTATTTCTTAAAACACATCTTAGTCTACTTGTCCTATTTTAATATCACAGGACAGCCTTCCAAACGGAGGAAACAATTGCAGAGCACACGGGAAACCAGCATGTTGACTCCCACGCCATTGTGTTTTTCCATTAGGCCCCTTAACAACTCAGCTAGAAACAAGCGGCAGATTTTTTTTTTTCCCCGACTCAGTGAGTAATTGTCTGCGCTGCAGTGACAGATGTGCAATATAGCAGCTTCTTCAGGAAAAAATTAACAGTTTGTCCAGCATGTCAGCTCGCTCTTTTTAGTGCTTGGGAGGTCTTGGCCCCATTATGGATGATTTAGAAATTGAGGCAAGCAAAGACCAGCTGCCTGCGCTGAAAGCCTTCGTTAGTCGCCCTCATCTGCATTCCAAGACTCACTCACATCCAGAAATTGGTGGAGCCCCTCTGGCCACAAGATGAGTATGGGCTGACAATGCCTTGATTTGTTGAGAGAGAATAAATGGGTTTTTCAGAAGATGAGGAAATATCACCATTACTGGCCAATTTACAGCATTTTATCTGTTCTTCAAACATGTCACTTTTGTTATTGTTGCATGGTAATTACATAGTGAAACAGAAAGAAAACAAATTCTGGTTACGTATTCAGATGGATTGCAAAATCATATAATCCTGATAAATGCCCATTTATGATACACATGGATGAAAGGTTCATTTTAATTTTGAATGGCTAGCTCAGCCATAAATAGGATATAGGATTAAATTCCAGAGAATCTGATTACATCAAAGCAAACAGTCTTTCTCTTTACTTTGAGATTGAGGGCAATACCATAAGGTATTTTCACAAACAGGATTGTCCTGAGACAATACAAAAAGGGAATTTGGAATTACATTCTCTAAAGAATGAACACTCTTAGTGAAGCTAGAGCGTCATCTTGCTCTAGGGACCAGTCATTCCCAAGGACTTCCCAAGAAGTCAATGAACTCTGCCAAAATATTTCCAACATGGAGGAAGAGCCCAATATTTTGAAGCTCACATTCGTGGTCAGGTCTCCAGTCAAATATTTGGAAACTAGAAATCAAAGTTCTCCCTTGTGTACCTCTTTTGAAGATTGTTTCTACCCCATCCACAGGTGAGTTGGCATAAAGGAATATTGCCTATGAAGTTTAGCTGAGTGTAGAGATAACAAAAAGCACAGAGATGAAAAGGAAGAAGTGAGAACAGCACCCCAGGACTACCTCTTTAAAATGTTAGGTGTGTTATGAGTCTTTGCTTAGTAGGAACTCAGCAGAAGGAGTCTTCATGGTCCACTTGTCAGGTGAGTACATATTACTGCAAACCTGTGAAATAAATGAGTATTTAATACCTATTGGCTCCCAACTTCGCTGTGGAAAAGAGAAAGATGAAAGAGACACAACAATGCTTAACTGCCTTGGCCTAGGGGACACATGTCACTTCTGTTCTTGATCCATTGGCTAGAACCAGCCACACGGGCCCAACTGAGTCCAAAAAATCTGCCCGTAGTAGGCAGCATGTGAATATCTGATGAGCACTAACTAGTTCAGCCACATAGTCTTAACAGGATATGTCCAGACAGTTAAATGCCAAAGCAGCAGACACCACATTCTACAGAACCTAAGATGCCATTAATTCTGAGATGCACTTCAATGTTATGTCCAAGGAAGAAAGGAGGGAAAAAAGGGAAAGGAAAGAAGAATGAATATATGCCAAATTGTTATCTATCAATGTATCCCAATTTTAGAATTGTTTGTAAAAAAAAGATAATGTTTACAAGTTTTGAACAATAGAGCAGAAAAAAATCTAAGAATGTTAGGGAAGTCTGCATGATTGCATGGAGCTGCTCCTTGAAGAATGATAGATGGGGTTTACCAAGAGCTGAGAACCTATGCGCTAATATGATGTGGTACAAAAGACAGCCATCAGAGTGACTCCCTGTGGGTGGCAATGCCCAACCCAAATACCTGCTATATGATTTGGTGCTAATCTTGCTGGTTTTAAGCTTCCTTTGCTGAATTTAGGAACAGTAGCTTTCCTCATAAGGTTATGAGGATTAAATAATGTGCATAAAACCTAGCACAGTGTCTGGTGTAATGGGCTGTTTCACTCAGGTAACCTTTCCCTTTCTGTTTCTAATAAAATAAGTTGTTCCTGTGTGTTACTCTTCTTTGCAAAAGGCTGGGGCTAGAGGATGGGAGAGAAGTGTAACTCATTTTCAATAGTCCCAGGAAGGATAGTCCTAGCAAGCCATTTTCCTAATTTCATTGTTATTGATGAATAAGTTATATGACTCCAAAAGAGAGTAGGTTCTTAAAAATATATTCAACTTCAAACAATAAAAATACAGAATTCAACCTCCTGTACTCAATGATATCTGCAAATCCTTCAGCCATGCCCACCCAGGCCCCTGGAACCTACCACCACTCTCTCTTGCCTCTGCTGCTGATCTTGCAGAAACAAGAGGGTGAGACACAGACCCAGTGCCCAGCACTGTTAGAGAATATAGTAAGTCCACAACTGTATGAAAACCTAATGTTTTAACAGTTTCCCCCAGATGGGCTGCTTGTTAAAGATGCTTAGGTTGAAATTCTGTCTTCAGTCTTTTCTTCAAGAGTATATTCTGGAGCAGTTCCTACCAACCTACAGAGTATATACGAATCATACCCTGGTGACTAAAAATATTTTAGTGCTCCCTCTGAGCACTAAAAAAATTGACATGATCAAACTTTGCTCTCAAAGAGGCACCAGAGAACAAGAATGTAATTGAGAAAGACAATCCTAGAAGAATCCTAAGAGGTCACTACCAACCTTCTGCCCACATCTAAATTCAGTCTTCCATGAGGAACCCTGTTGGATCACCTGCCCAGCTCTCTTTTGTCTGAGATGTGTTCTAGACCTTACCACCTTCAAATCTCTACTGAAGAAAATTCCCAGGAATTTAAAATTAGGACTAAGAGATTTCACTCTTGCTTTTGTCTGACTATTCTCTTGAATGGAGGAGTCATTCAGAATCAGGGAATCAGAGAAAGTGATGAAGAAAGGGAATAAAACAGAGGATCAGAGAGAATAAAGATGGAACAAGAAATGTCTGAGCTTCTTGCAACCCTAGAGATCTTGCTCAATACTGTCTGATGTCTCGTTGGAAAAAAGAAGGACATCACTGGGAATGTAGAAGAAACAATTTCTTCTATGAGAAAGTAAGACTTACTCTCCTTCAATGGGACTGGCCTTTTCCATTATTGGGTAGAAAACTTGTGAAAGCTGAAGTGCTTAGGCCAGTATTTATTAAATATCCATCATAGATTCAGATAAAGGAAATCTAAAATCATAATAACAGTTAATTGTCCAGTTTTTAGGTTTTTATGTTAGCAGGCAAGAAGGTAAAATAACAGCC